TGAATGACAACGTGCTTGTACCGAAGAATTTGTTACCCGATGTCGCACTGTTACGTTGATGTCGCTTAACCACGCTGCTTCCTCGTGTGGCTGCGTTTGTTTTGTGTAACGTGGTCCGCGTTGGGTTGGAAGATCGCTATCGATAGGTTCGTTATTTCGAGTCCCGGGGTACAGTAACGGCGTGACAGGCTGTCGGATCCGTACCGTCCTGATCCGTTTCGGACAGGCGGCACAAGCAAGGTGAATGGTCAACATGGGCGAGCACATGCTTCAAGCCTTCAACTCGGCCGGGTGTGTCTGAGACGCAGGAAGTTGTTGGCATAAGGTGGGTGGGTAGAGGCATGAGAGGCGGAGGGGCGGTGGAGGGCGTCTCGTGTTCACTAAACTGCAAGAACATCTTTCTACCTAAGTTTGTGTCCTTGACTGCGTTCCTCCGGATCGTCTGAAACGTGAGTTGGGTTGTTGGCACAGAGGGTGAGTGGGGGAGGCCTAGGGGCGGTGGAGGAGGTCTCATGTTCACTATGAAATGCGATACCATCTATCTAGGTATGTAGGAGTATCGAGATGCATTCCCAACTTGCGCTCCTCCGAGTCCGTCTGAAACATGAGTTGGGTTGCTGGCACAGTTCCCCGCCCGGTGGTCCCAGCTCGCCCTAAAGTTGTTATCCCTGACCGAGCTACTGCGGCACTCCCCAGCACCTCCCTCTCCTTGCCAGCGCCGCACTGAAGAATCCTCTGCAGTCGCCGTGGACCGCTAAGACGCCCGTGAGAGAGCGGCATTGTCACTGTTCCTAATCCAGCCGTCTCCACCGCCCAGACTTGGACTTGGTGTTCCTCCGCTACTTGACCCCCAACATCCACCACGACTACACCGACTTCCCCTCCGAAGCGATTGCGGCCGCCACGATGAACAACAACCAGCAAGGCAACCGCCTGCAGCTCAACTTTGGCTTCGGCGCCGGTGACCGAAACAACCAGCAGTACCAGCAGGAAGTCGGCAGAGCATTCCCGACGACGCCTTCGACGTTCCCGCAACCTGTATACCCCAACCAGGCCGGCCAGCAGGAAGTCTGGGGCGCCCAGCAGCAACAACAGGGCAATGGCTACAACGGGGGCGGAGGCTACTTCATGAACCCCTACCAGCAGGCACAATACCAAGGGCAGCAGGGCAACCTCCAGGCGCCAGGCAGCCAGCGCTTCGACCAGAGTGCCAATGGCCTCGCCCAACAACTGTCGCACCAACACCTTGGGGGCAGCGGTCGCTCTGGAAGCCCCTACGGCCGACAAGCCTCCCCGAACCCTGGACGCCCTCGCACCGCAGACAACAGAGGAGGCTACGGCTACGGAAGCCAGGGTGGCAGCTCAGGGCCCCGACAGCCCTCGCTGTACGATGAAGAGGCGCCGCAACGAAACCCCACCAAGTACACGGAGAATGTAGACAAGCAGGCCATGGTATCCAAGAGTCTCATCAATACATTCTTCAAGGACAGTGTCCAGCGGGCTCGCGACCGGAATCAAAGGTGGGATCTTCAAACTCTTTGCTGAGCATTACTGACCTCGCCGCAGAGCCCTCGAACTGGATGCTCTTATGAAAGAGACGTCCATCTCCGACAGCCGGAAACGGTCCAAGGAGGACAGCATGCGCCGTGCCGAAGTCGAATACCTACGTTTCTTGCGGACAAAAGAGAAGCCCGAAAACTTCTCGACACTGAAGATTATCGGTAAGGGTGCGTTCGGAGAGGTCAAGTTGGTGCAACGGCGCAACGACGGCAAGATCTACGCGCTCAAATCGCTTGTGAAGCAGGAGATGGTAGGCAGTCCTCGTTCGATATTCATCTTTGGCATTCATCTCACACGCCACAGTTCAAGAAAGACCAGTTGGCCCACGTACGGTCAGAACGTGACATTCTCGCCGAATCCGACAGTCCATGGGTTGTCAAGCTGCACACGACCTTCCAGGACAACACTTTCCTCTACATGCTTATGGAGTTCTTGCCAGGTGGTGACTTGATGACGATGCTGATTAAGTACGAAATCTTCACTGAGGACATTACACGATTCTACATGGCCGAGATCACGCTTGCGATAGAGGCCGTCCACAAGCTTGGTTTCATACACCGGTATGTGTTTAGTAGTTGCGAGAAGACGAAATTCTAACTTTCCCAGTGACATCAAGCCCGACAACATCCTTCTCGACCGAGGCGGCCACATCAAGTTGACAGATTTCGGTCTGTCGACAGGCTTCCACAAGGAGCACGACGCCAACTACTACAAGAAGCTGCTCGCCGGCGGCGCACACAAGTCGAACCGCGACAACCGACAATCAATGAACCTAGACCAAATTCAACTGACTGTCAGCAACCGTACCCAAATCAACACATGGCGTAAGTCTCGTCGACAGCTCGCTTACTCGACCGTCGGTACACCCGACTACATCGCGCCGGAGATCTTCAGCGGTCAAGGTTACGACTACAGCTGTGATTGGTGGTCGGTAGGCACAATCATGTTCGAGTGTCTGATCGGCTGGCCGCCGTTCTGCGCTGAGGAGCCACACGACACGTACCGCAAGATTGTCGACTGGCCGCGTAACCTGCACTTCCCTCCCGACCAGCAACTCGGCGCCGAAGCTGAAGACTTTGTCCGACGGTAAGCGCCTCTATCCCACACGATCTTCTCAGATCATCCCAGTAACTAACATGTATGTCCAGGCTCATCTGTGACGCCGAACACCGCCTCGGTCGCATCGGTGGCGCCAACGAAATCAAACAGCACCCCTTCTTCCGCGGCGTCTCCTGGGACGGTCTCCGCCGTATCCGCGCGCCCTTTGAACCCAAACTGCAGTCCAACATTGATACTCAATACTTCCCCATCGACGAGATTGACCAGAATGATACCTCGGCTGCTCACAGGGCGCAAGCCGCACAGGCAAACGAAGACGAGTATGCAACTAGTCTGCCCTTTATTGGGTACACGTATAAGCGCTTCGACGCTTTCCGCGGGTCTTAGATTGGGAGTTTGTTGGGTAGGTTGATGAAGGAAGGGGGTGTGAGGTGTTTAGGGAAGGATGGTCAGGATTTCCGGGGTTGAGAACTCTCTCTTACCGTCTTGTCTGTCTCGAAGCCGTTCCCTTTTGATAGCATGAAGCCTGGAATGGGAAGGAAAGTGTCCTGGCTGGCACGCACCACTGTCACATCATATCATAACCATATACTACATAAATCTTTGCGCACAGCGCGCGAATGGAGTAATGGGTCGTCATGCTTTTTTGATTCTCTGCCTTGTTGAAAATGGAGGTCACGATAGGAGAAAGGGATGAATGGTGTGTGGGGGGTCGTGGTGGCTGGTGTGCATTTCATGGTTAAGTCTGGGAATTGCTAATATTATCACCATACCGCATTCAAATATCCGAATGAAACTCCTGTACTAATGCCTTCTGAAATGCCAAGTTCACATAGCCTTTTTGACTCGTGTTCCCCCGTGTGCAAATATCGCTGTCACATGTAGACTACTCTGTCGCGGGTTCTCCTACTCCCGCATACGCCTGTTATCCGTGCAGAGATATCGCCAGACTTTTCTCGTGTCACCGCTTCGCCGTCCCGCCGTGTGGTGTTGTTTCGTTTGAGGTATTGGGGGAGTTGCGCACTCATCGGGCTTCGAATTGGACCATACTGAATATTGTGTTAGTGAGATTGTTCGTGTAGGTTCTGTTGTCGGCCTTTCGTCTTTGTGCTTTGACACGCCTAACGCCTGACGCCTTCTTGCCGCCTCTTTTCGTCCCTGTCTTGCGCCTTCAACATGCGCTCTGTCGTGCGCATTCTCTCCTTCCTTCTACTTGTTTCTCTCTTCTCCCCAAAACCCATCGCCCTGCCCTCCTCTTACACATCCCTTCTCCCTCCTCCCGCAAAACTAGAATTTCACTTACCGGTTAGTCCTCTGCTTATAAAGCACACGATGCCCACAGTTTCTGCACCGAATCGGCTCTCCGCGCTTCAGCGGCACGTCCATGTCGCAGTCGCCGCACTTGTAGTGAACGGTGCGCGCGGTCGCGTCGATTTGGCTGACGGTTGCTGGGTCCGTGGTTTGCTGGGGGTTGTAGGCGGTGGACATTTTGGGCGGTGGTGTTGCGTGGGTGAGGTGTGTGTGACGGTGAGGTGGGGTGGTATGGAAGAAGGTGTGGTGTGAGGGTTGGAGGCAGAAATGTTTAGGTTGCGATGATGGTTTGCGCCGAAAACCGAGGGTCGCGGTGGTACGTGCTTGGGCCTTATCGATAGGGTATCTGGGACTCAAGGAAAGGGCGCGTCTGCTTCTTCATCGATGCATCCTCATCAGTGCAGTATTATTCAGCCAGTCACACTTTATTTCCAGAGTATACTCACGCCTTGTTATTAGTTTCCATTACTATTAGGGAATTAGGGAAGACAGTGTCATGTCTGCCGACACTCTCGATACAGGCAACTAACGTCCATGACGCTGCGAATCCTCGCAACAAGCACGAGCCCATGAGATAACCTCTACATTCAATCTTAGTAACAACGCGCACAGATGAAGGCGACGAGAAGGCGACCAGTCTCAATATCCAGAAGCCTATCTACAGTACTGTAGGCCGCCCAGTATGTGGCACGGTTCGGACCTTCTCAAGCTTGGTCTTGCGCGCCCCTACAACTCGATGGCATACCACACTTCAGCCCCTTCCTCGATCCCGACCCTTGTCGGATGTGTCCAATCAAACTGTGGATCAGCGATAATACTGCAAGATGTGCGCATGGAAGGTATAGTATGTCGCACGAGGCTGTGGTTACCCCGCCTCGATTCTATGGCTACTTAGGTCTGCCACGCCTCCTTCGTGCAGGCATGACATAGTGTCTCGTCGCTTTGCCCGCAACAACACAGCACTCTCGGCTGGCATCTCTTGAGGGACAGTCCCTTAGTAGACACTTCGACGATTATTCACCACCTCGCCTTACGCTTCACTGGTGCTATGCATCAAACCCCTCTGCGTCATGTCTCATATCATCCCTAGCGTGGCAAAACTGAGACCTGAAATCCGTCTCGCCGAAGCGGTGTCTCAATTCGAAGCCAATCTGTCTATGGTCGAGAAGGCCAGTTTCCGAACAGATCGATCGAAAGCGCTCGAATCGCCTCCCGGCCCCAACAGTGTCATGCGGGTAACTGCAGATATTGACAGAGCTCAAAAGGCTGGCAGCCGATGCTTTGGACCACGGTTCACGAATTTCCTCCATGGCGTTCAACAGTTCGCTGCGCTTGGTGACGTGATTATTGGAGGGTCTCAAAACATTGTCGCATGTGGCGTGTGGTCGCTAGTGCGCATGTCGCTGCTGGTGAGCGTGTTCATCTCATTCGAGTTCGGTCAACCGGCGCAAGAAGCGTTGAAAGGAGTGAGAAGAAGTTTCTGACTATGGACAGGCGTTGGTCAACTCCTCGTCATATCTAGAGAGACTTTCACTGATCTTCATGGATGTTGGTCGCTCAGCTCCACGATACCAGGCGTTGGGACTCCTTTACCCCCGGTCAAAACTCCTCCAGTCCCAGATCAGCGAATACTTCATCGTGGTAGTGCACCTCTGCAATCGGATAATGAAGTTCACCCGGAAATCAACCTTCTCAAAGCTAGGTTCTACAGTGAACGACTCGGACGTGAGAGAATTGCAAGCTGAGCTCAACTCTTGGGCAAAGTCAATAAAAGAGGAAGTGGATCTTTTGATGGCTCAGAAAATCGATATGGAAGTCCAGTCTAGTTCAGCGTTTAGAGCTCTTTCAACACGACATGCAAAGGCAACCGAACATCAACGGAAACTGGCAGAAAGGCTCCGCATCCTCGATATGTTCTCAACACATGATTATGAGACACCCTGGAGGCGAATCCGCAAGACCGGAACTACTACCAGCTTTTTGCAAACCACCGAATATCATGACTGGAGAGATTGCAAGGCGTCAACTACGCTTCTCTATAGAGGCAGCATTGGCTCGGGTAAGACTGTCATGATGGCGAATATAGTCAACGATCTCGTTGCTCATATCGAAGGCACCGATGCTGTAGTTGCTTATCACTTCTGCGAGCACGACTCATGGGATCTAAATTGTCAACGAGTCCTTGGCACACTGGTACGACAAATACTCGAGACTGTACCGGACCTGACTACTTTGGACCCGCGACACAAACACTCATTCAGTGTGGACCAGTTCGTAACTCTGCTGTATGAGGTTGTTCCTCAGTCAACACACATATGGATAGTACTTGATGGACTACACAACTGTCTCGAAAAAGACAGAAATTACATCTTACTCGGGATCAAGGAGCTCCAATCAGTTCGGGATGTGCATTTATGTGCATCACATCGCGTGGACTCTCATAGTCTAGCAGATATGCCAATATTCCGCCCTGCTGTTGTCACGCTACAGCCCGAGAACGCCCAAGACATTGAAGCGTTTGTGGACACTGAACTGGAACGCTGTCTGACAACCCGTAAGCTGGTTCTCGGGGACCCCGCTCTTATATTCGACATACGGGACGCTCTAATGAAGGGCTCGCAAGGCATGTTTCTTTGGGCGACGCTACAAATTGAGTCGTTATGCTCGATGAAGACTGATAAAGAGATTCGCGAAGCACTTCTTGATTTACCTCGCAATCTTACGCAGGTCTATAATCAAATACTGAACCAGCTGCAGCAACCTGGTCGAACTTATCAAACAGAGATATTCAAAATCATCACATCTACGATGCGACCGCTTACAATGGAAGAAATGCAGGAGGCCCTGAGTGTCACACTTGGCGATACAACCTGGGACCCCTCGAAGCTTCTGAACAGCGTGGATTCGGCTTTGGCAACTTGCGGCTGTCTCATTACCGTGGACGAAGAAGACGGCACGATACGTACAGTACACCCGAGCGTCAACCAGTACCTCATACAAAAAGATCGAGAGGGCCACAATGGCGGGGTTTGTCTCGACCCCGAAGAGGCCCGAACGTTCACGGCATCGATAATGGTAACCTACCTTGGCTATGGCCTTTTTGGTACGGAGCTATCGAGCCCCCTTCCCGCAATGCAGTTGGGATCAGCGCCTTCTCATATTATCAGCTCAACACTAGACAACTCCAAGTCCGTCCAGAGTGTCGCCCTGAGGTTTTTGAGGTCCATGAAAGAGTCGCAATTTGACGCAACAAAGGTTCTTGCCGAGAATCTCACGTTGCAGTCCAAAGTCAGCGCTCATCGATTTCCCTTCCAGTACTTGGCGAAGCAATCTATACTGATGTATCTATATTTACTCCCGATGCTACTCTGCAGTACCTCAGAAAACTTCTTTCGAGTCCTCAAGCAAGGGACAGTACGCCTCAAAACCCCGGCCGGGATAGTCGGGATAACCTGGGTTGCGCTCCAACCCCCTGGGAATACTGACATAACCGACCTTCTCAACAACCTGAGCCTTGAGGGGGACTGGAGCGGTAAACTGGCAATCGACATGTACCGCTTGCTTCCCAATGTGCTCCTCCGGGCGATCCACCTTGGTCACGAAGAATCGATCAAGTACCTATTAAACATGTACCGCCCCCTCTTTCAGGACTACCCCGCCGCAGTAGAAGGGATTCAAGGCAACGTTCCCAAGGTACTAAGGGATCTGTGCAAGTATCACTTCTTCCCGGGGTGTACAACGCAACCAACATCCCAAGAGCTTCGACACGTGCTCCTCGGGTCCAAACCAAAACCTTTAACACAAGCTATACGCACACGCAACAAACATGTATCATTAGCACTCATAGAAGATGAGTTCATTATGGCTGATGATGAATTGCTTGAGGAAGACGGGGCGATTGAAAGCGCTGCAAAGTTTGAAACTGTGGGAATTCTGGACGCGATATTGTGCTCGAAAGGTTTCGCACACGTTTCGGCAGAAGATTTGCGTAAGCTCATTCAGAGGCTCCATACCGATAAGAGATCTGGAGAGACAATGTTTCGAGTTTTTAATCGACAGCAGCAAAGACCGGGGCCTCGCAATGAGATGTTTACGTCCCTTTTTATGTTAACATAGAATGCTTAGCAACGATACTGCGCATTTTAGCAATTACGATAGCATTAATTTTGCTAGAAGAAGCATGCTCTTACAGATTTCTGTCTGTATGCATTAAGCGGCTTTTATAAGAAAAACGCAAGAGCCTCTATTACTAGTAGTAACTACAACTCGAGTTGTAGTCTATAGTAACTTAATCTAAAGCTTATGTGTGCGTAAGCTTTAAGTATTAGACAGTCTAGTAACTTAATAGCTTTTAATGTTATGTATATAGTTATATATAATATATCGAAACTAGACCTAATGCTACTATGTACCTTATTTTAAACTTATAATTGCACACTATAAATCTATATAGACGCGAAACTTATTACTAGTAGTACTACTATAGATTTCTTAGAGCCTATTTAGTAATTATTATATAAATATTAATATAAAGAAAATATAATTAAACTCTAAAACGTAATTTATTAGTATTTTACTACTTTTATATCTCTTTATATAATAATTAAAAAATAAGTTTATAGAATAAATATTCTACTACTATAGCTTAATAGAATATTTAGCGTATTCTACTACTATAGCTTAATAGAATATTTAGTATATTCTACTACTATAGTATAATAGAATATCTAGTATATTCTACTACTATAGTATTTATAGTATACGTAAAGTATTCTACTACTATAGTATAATAGACTATTTAGTGTATTCTACTACTATAGTATTTATAGTATATGTAAAGTATTCTACTACTATAGTATAATAAAAGTATTTTACTACTACTTACTTATTTTAAGTTTATAAGTATTCTACTACTATAGTATAATAAAAGTATTCTACTACTATAGTATAATAAAAGTATTCTACTACTACTTACCTATTCTAAGTTTATAAGTATCTTACTACTATAGTATAATAAAAGTATTCTACTACTACTTATAAGCTTAGGCCTTCTTATATTCTACTACTACTTATTTATTCTAAGTTTATAAGTATTCTACTACTACTTACCTATTCTAAGTTTATAAGTATTTTACTACTACTTACCTACTTTAAGTTTATAAGTATTCTACTACTACTTATAAGCTTTTAAGGCCTTTATATATTATACTACTATAAACTTATTATAAGTAAAAAAAAAATAGTAATAGATAAGACTTAAACTTAAATATAAAAAAAATAGTAACTTTATATATAAGAAATTACCTACTTAGTAGTTAAGTAGATATCTTAGTTAAGAGCTAGAGGTTACTAGACTAGCAAAGAACTAATATACTAAATAGTAGTACTATATTAGGCTATTATTAATAGAGAATAATTAGATTTAAAGCTTTATATAGTACGTAAGTATAAGAGAGCTAGTAGAAATATAAAGTTATAATAAGTAGAAACTCTATATTAGTAGCTATAACGCTAGCTTTACTAGTATAGTAATATAGTATATAAGTATAGAAGGTAGATAATTAATAGAGAGTAAGAAGTAATAAGTAATAAGTAATAAGTAATAAATATACCTTTTTTAAGACTATAATCTTACTTATAGCTATTAAAACTTTAGTCTATAGTAATTTTATATTATATAATACTTTCTATATTAATAATAATAATAGTAGTAACTACCTTAAAATATCTACTTTTAACTCTTTTCTATTTAGTTTTCTATTTAGCGCTTTACGCGCTATAATTTTAGTACTACTACTATAATTTATTACGTAGTAGTAATAGTAGTAATAGTAATAAAATAAGCTTTACTAAAGTAAGTTAAGATTTAGCATAGTTTAGAAGCGTAGGTAAGTATAGTACTACTATTATTAGAGTTAGTAACTATATACTAATAGTAATATAGCTTATCTTAGAACTTTACTTAGTATACTTAGTATATAGTAGCTATACTACTATTAATAATTACGCCTACGCCTACGCCTATACCTATTATTCTTACTTCTACTTCTTCTACGCTTCTAGCGTATAATAATAATAATAATAATAATAATAAGAAGATAGAGGTTATACTAAGCTAGGTAGTAATTCTACTTACTCTTATAAGTAACCTTATATAGTAGTAGTAAAGATATAGTAGTAAAGGTTAGATAGGTAGATAGGTAATAATAGATATAGAATAGCTTACTTTCTTCTCTTCTCTATAAAGTATAAGTAAGTAGTATCTATATAGTACTACTACTATAATATATAGACGTTTACTAGCTTTAGAGCGTTTAGCTTCTATATTCTATTCTAGCTATTTAGAGTACTACTTAAGAAAATAACCTAAGTATTAGATTAGAGTAGTATTATAGGTTAAAGTTTAAATACTAACTATAGTAAGAGAGTAGAGTTTAGTTAGTTAGAATTAAAGTTCTTACTATATACTTCTTTCTATATACACTATTTTATACTTTTACTACTTTCTAAACTTCTACTAGTAATTATTAATAAATAAGCTACTAGCTATATTCTAGAAAGAGAAATATAAGGCTAGTAGTCTTCTACTTCTTACTAATAGTAAAGAATTAAAAAAGCTAGATAACTAACTTAGAGTCTTTAGTAGAAGAGTTAGGTAAGAGAAGTATAGTATTAGACTTTTCTACTTCTTACTAATAGAGAAGAATTAGATAAGCTAGACTTTTTAGGCTAGCTTTTAATAAAGTATTAAATATAGCTTTAACTTTAATAAAGGCTATAAACTAACTAGAGTATAATAGTATAAAAACTACTAGTCTAAACGTCTAGCTACTTTAGTGCGTAGTAGATATTACTAGTAGTAACCTTTAAGTACTAAGAGCTATTATAGCTAATAAGAAAGCTAGTAACGTATTTAAAGTAGTATATCTTTATAGATATATAGTGCTTAAAGACTACTATCTAAAAGTTATATTTTTAGTATAAAGTTATAGAAGTATAAAGCACTTCTATAGTAGCTAGAGTAGTAGTAGTTTTAGAAGCAAGTCTAAGTTAAGACTATTAGTATTAGTATAGAGTTATAGAAGTATAAAGCACTTTATAGTAGCTAGAGTAGTAGTAGCTAGAGTAGTAGTAGTTCTAGAGGTAAGCCTAAGTTAACTTATTACTAGCTTCTTAAAGGCTTTAATACTATTATTAGTAATTATCTTATAGAAGTGTAAGATACCTTTATAGTAGTTCTAGAAGTAAGCCTAAGTTAACTTATTACTAGCTTCTTAAAAGCTTTAATACTATTATTAGTAATTATCTTATAGATTAATAATAGTACTAATAATACTTTTACTAGAGAAGGTAGTAATAATAGAGTACTTACCTAATTTAGTAGTAGTATCTTAGTATACTACGTTTCTTACAGCTCTCTTACTAAGAATATAGTATTTAGTATTAGTAATCTTAACTAGAAAGTAGTTAATTATAGAATATATAGTCTTTATAAAAGTATATATATTAAAGTTAAATAGTATAGACTTAAAAGAGGCCTAGAGGCTTATAGCTAGCGTACTTAATAATAGCCTTATATAGTCTATAGTTATTTATAAAATACTAGTTATAGTAGATATATATAGTAAGATTAATAATTATAAGAAAGTTAGTAATAAAAAAGAAGTAGTTAATAATAGCTTTAGTAGCGCAGCGTATAGGCTTAAAAGACCTAGAGACTTATAGCTAGTATTATTAATAATAATAATTATAAAGAAGTTAGTAATAAAGAGAAGGTAGTTAATAATAGCTTTAGTAGCGTAGCGTATAGGCTTAAGAGGCCTAGAAGCTTATAGCTAGTATTATTAATAATAATAATTATCTAAAAGTTACGTTCTTAGTATAAAAATATAGAGGTAGAAAGTATCTTAGTAGTAGTAGTTCTAGAAGTAAGCTAGAGTTAAGGCTATCTAAGAGCTTATAAAGTAGAAAGTGTAGTAAACTTAATAATATAATCTTTAATAACTCTACTAATACTAGTTATAGATAGAAGCTAAATAATTAAAAATATAAGTATAGCTAGTTAGACTTCTTTCTTCTATATAAGACTATTAACCTAGATATAGAATCTAAGCTTTAGGTACTATATATTATTATTATAGTCTAAATACTATTAGTATATAATAATAGAGATATAAACGTATAGAACTTATATCTAGCTAGCTAGAAAGAAGTAGAGTAATAGTAGAGATCTTAAGGCTAGAGATCTTAACTTAAAGATTCTTATAGATATAAGTCTTTATAGCTTTTTTCTTCTAGTTACTACTAATAATCTTAGTTTTAAAAGTCTTCTAGTTCTATAGACTAGTGTTAAGAAATTTAAATATCTTTTAGTTCTATAAACTAGTGTTAAGAAATTTAAAAATTTTCTAGTTTTATAAACTAGTGTTAAGAAATTTAAAG